CAAATTGAACTGGTAATCTAAGAACTACCTAGAACAAAATGCCTGGAACAGATGGCTTCATAGCTGAATTTTATCAAGCATTTAATGAAGACCTAATACCTAACTTCCTCATAGTTTTCCAAAAAGTAAAAGAGGAGGGAATACTTCAAAACTCATTGTATGAGGCCAGCATTACTCTAATACCAAAACCAAATAGACCACAAAAATAAAGAAAAATTACAGATGAATATCCCTGATGAACATAGAAGCAAAAATATTCAACAAAACATCAGAAAACTGAATTCAAAATACATAAAAAGATCATTCATCATTATCCAATAGAATTTATTCTAGGGATACAAGGATGGTACAATATTCAAAAATCCACCAACATCATACACCTCATCAACAAATGGCCAAATATCACATGATCATCTCAATAGGTGGTGAAAAAACATTTGACTAAATTCAACATCCATTAATGCTAGAACTCTCAACAAATGGGTAAAGAGGGCTAGTACTATAATATAATAAAGAACACATATGATAAATCCACAGCTAACATAATACTTAACAGCAAATAGCTGAAAGCTTTTCTCTAAGATTGAGAACAAGACAAGGATGCCCACTCTCCCCACTTTTATTCAACATGATACTGGAGGTCCTCGCCACGGCAATCAGACAGTGCAAAGAAATAAAAGCATAGTTAAGGAGGAAGTTAAACTGTTGCAGATGACATTATATTGTACATAAAAAAACCCTAAAAAGTACACCCCAAAACTTCTAGAACTAATAACTGCATTCAGCAAAGTTGCAGGATACAAAATTAATATACAGAAATGTGTTGCATTCCTGTATACTAATGATGAAATAGCAGACAGAGAAATCAGAGAAACAATTCCATTTACAATTGCATCAAAAAGAATAAAATACCTAGGAATAAACCTAACCACAGAGGTAAAAGACCTTTACTCTGAAAACTACAAGACACTCATGGGAGAAATTAAAGAACACAGCAATATGGATATACATCTTGTGCTGATGGATAGAAATAATTCATATTGTCAAAAATGCTATGCTGCCTTAAGCCACCTGCAGATTCAATGTAATCCCTATCAAAATACAAACAGCATTCTTCAACAAACTAGAATAAATAGTTCTAAAATTCCTATGGAACCACAAAAGAAACTGAATAGTCAAAGAAATCCAGAGAAGGAAGAACAAATCTGAGGGGATTATGCTCCCTAACTTCAAGCTGTACTACCAAGCCACATTAATCAAAACAATTTGTTGCTGGCACAAGAACAGATGCATAAATCAATGGAATAGAATAGAGAGCCCAGATACAAACCCAAACATATATGGCCAATTAATATATGATAAAGGAGCCATGTAAATACAATGGGGAAGTGACAGCATCTTCTACAACTGGTGTTGGCATAACTGTACAGCTACATGTAAGTGAATGAAACTGGATTATTTTCTAACTCCATATACAAATGTAAATTCAAAATGGATAAAAAACCTGAATATAAGCCATAAATCCATAAAACTTTTAGAAGAAAGCATAGACAGAAATCTCTTGAATATAAGCATGAGCAATTTTTCCTGAACACATCTCCTTGGGCAAGGCAATCAAAAGTAAAAATGAACAAATGGGACTATTCTAAACTAAAAAGCTTCTCTGCAGTAAAGGATATCAACAGCTGAACAAAAAGGCATTCTATGGTATGGGAGAATATATTCATATATGACATATTTGATGAGGGTTAACATTCAAAATATATAAAGAACTCCCATGCCTCCACAACCAAAAAGCAAATAACCCAATTAAATAATGGGTGCAGGATATGAAAAGACAATTCTCCAAAGAAGAAATTTAGATAGTCAACAGGCACATGAAAACATGCTTGCTCCACAACGCTAATTATCAGGCAAATGCAAATTAAAACCAGAAAGAGATATCACCTCTACCAATAAGGATGACCAGCATCAAAAAGACAAAGAACAACAAATGTTGGCAGAGGATGCGGAGAAAGGGGAACCCTCCTACACTTCTGATGGGACTGTAAACTAGTTCAACCATCATGGAAAGCAATATGGAAGTTCCTCAAAAAACTAAAAATCGAAATGCCATTTGAGCCAGGAATTCCACTTTTGGGAATTTATCCAAAGAAAACAAGTTTTCAGATTCCAAAAGACATATGCACCCCTGTGTTTATGGCAGCACTATTTACAATAGCAAAGATACAGAAGTAACCTGTGTTCATCAGTAGATGAATGAATAAAGAAGATGTGCTACATATACACAATGGAATACTATTCAGCCATAAGAAATAAACAAATCCTACTATTTGCAACAACATGGATGGAGCTAGAGGGTATTATGCTCAGTGATATAAGCCATGTGGAGAAAGACAAGTACCAAATGATTTCACTTATTTGTGGAGTATAACAACAAAGCAAAACTGAAGGAGAAAAAACAGCATCATACACACAAACTCCAAAAAGGGCCTAGTGGTTACTAAAGGGTAGAGGTATGGGGAGGTGGGTGGGGATGGAGGGAGAAGGGAGTAAGGGGCAGTATGATCTGTACATATAATACAACAGGGGCATGGGGAAGGCTGTGCAGCACAGAGAAGACACCTAGTGACTCTATAGCATATTACTATGCTAATGGACAGTGACTACAATTGGGTGTTGTGGGGGTAATTAATAATATGGGTAAATATTGTAACTACAATATTTCCTATGTGAAATCTGCATAACATTGTATATATCTCAATAATACATTAATTTTTTTAAAAGGATCAAAAATCATGATAAAGTAGTATTCATCCCTGAGAAGAAATGATGGTTCAATATTCCTAAATCAATAAATGTGATACCTTAACAGAATGAAGAATCAAAAGAATATCATATGATTGACTTAATAGATTGAGAAAAAGCACTTGACAAAATTCAAAGTCCTTTCATAATAAAATTCTGAGTTAATTGGGTAGAGAAAGCATGTAGTTCAGTAAAATTAAAGTTACATATACAAGCACATACCTAACATCATATTCAAAGATGAAAATTTGAAAACCTTTCCTCTAGAATGAGGAGCAAGTTATGCATGTCCACACATGCTATTTTTATTTAAGATGGTAATAGAAATCCTAACCAGACAATTAGGTAAGAAAAGTCAGTAAAAGCCATCCAAATTGGAAAGAAGAAGTAAAACTATCTCTTTTCAGGAAATATGATACTATATAAAGAAAACCCTATGATTCCAACAAAAAATGTTAGAGATAATAAATGTACTTAGTAAAGTTATGAAATACAAAATCAATATACAAAATCAGTTTCATACAACGCATTACCAAAAAAAAATCCCACATAATCTGCTTTAAAAAAGAAGACATATAGGTGGCCCAAATGGTACATGAAAAGATGTCCAGCATCACGGATCATTAGGGGAATGTAAATCCAAACCACAATGAGATATTGGTGCACACCTATTAGAAAGGCTATGTCAAAAAGACAAGAAATAACAAGTGGTGGTAAGGATGTGGATAAAAGGGATCCCTTGTACACTGTTGGGAAAGCAAATTGGTGCAGGCACTATAGAAAACAGTATGGAGTTTCCTCAGAAAACTAAAGACATAATTACCATATGACTTGGCAATTCCACCTCTGGGTGTTTATATGAAAAGAAAAACACTAACTTGAAAAGATATATGTTACACATCCCCTTTTTCAATGCAGCATCATTTATAATATCCAAGATAGGAAAGCACATTGAGAGTCCATTGAGTTCAAAAAGAAAATATGGTGTAGATATATATATATATATATAATGCAATACTACTCTGTCATAAAAAGGAAGGGCATTTTGCCATTAAAGACAGTATGATTGGACATTGAGGACATTATTCTCAGGAAATAATTCAGAATGAGGGGCACATACATTATACAATTTCAATTAGTGTAGAATTTTAAATGATCTCATAAAAACAGAATAGATTGGATATTGCGAGTGGTGAGACAATGGGAGAAATGGATGAAGGTAGTGATAGAACACAAATGTCCAGTTTTAAGATGAATAAGTTCTAGTGATCAAATGTACACCATGATGACTATAGTTACTAGTAAATTTTATACTAGAAAGTTGATATGAATACATGTTAACATACACCATAAAAAGTGTTAACTAGGAGACATAATGGATGTGGTAACTGATCTTACTGTATAACAATTTCAAAATATGTATGTGAAAACAATCATCACATTGTTCACCTTAAAATGTTCAATATATCAATTATATATCAATAAAGCTTGAAAAAATGTTTAAATACATTCTGCTGAGTAAAGTAACCATTCACAAAAAAGCATGCAATATATAAGTACATTTATATGAAAGGTTCAGCTTAGGCAACACTCTAAGGTAGAAAATAGATTAAAGGCTGGCCAGGGTTGGAGATGCAGAAAAAAAGGAGGGAGTTCCATCCACAGGGTAAGAGTTTCTTTTGGGAGTCATGAAAGTGCTCTAAAATTGCTTGTCATGGTGGTTGCACAATTTGGTGAAGATACTGTGACCTATTGAATTGTACACTTCAAGTTTAGCAGTTGTACACTTTGTGAATTTCATGTCATCAAAGTTTTTATAAACAAAGCAAAGCAAATATTGCTTGAACCATCATTTTCAAGAAATTTTGATTCATCTGTATCCTAATTTATCTCTAGTTCTTGATTTAAGGAGAATACAGACAGTCACATTTCACTTGCCACCATACTTGACATACTTCTTAAATATATTACATCAGACAGACCACTTGCATATTCAAGGTCATTGACTCTTAGCTAGATGATGGCTATTATAATAATAACACAAATGTGAAACACATTTGTGTACAATCAAGATCATCTACCTTTTTTGCTTTTTCCACTTGCCCTCCAAATGCTCTGTTCATATAATGTATTTACTTGGAGGTGGAGGAGTTATATATTAACTTCCTGATTGATTTCCCACTGATAGAAGCACCAGCAATGCTACAAGGGGACAGAAATTTGGGGACGTTGTTCTCTACCAGGATGTCTATGAAATGGATTTCAGTTCCTCTGCTGCTACAGCTGGCTTGTTACTTCAGCTCTGGGAGCTGTGGAAAGGTGCTGGTGTGGCCCACAGAATACAGCCACTGGATCAACATAAAGACAATGCTGGATGAACTTGTCCACAGAGGCCATGAAGTGGTTGTTCTGGCATCTTCAGCCTCCATTCTTGTTGATCCCACCAAATCATCTGCTATTAAATTTGAGATTTTCCCTACATCTTTAACCAAGGTTGATTTTGAGAATCTATTTTTGCAATTAATCAGTAGATGGACATATGATCTTCCAAAACAGTCATTTTGGACACATTTTTCATTAATGGAAGAACTCACAACAACATTTGGTAACTCTATTGAAAAGCTCTGTAGAGACGTAGTCTTGAACAAAAAACTTATGACAAGGCTGCAAGAATCAAGGTTTGATGTCATTCTTGCAGATCCCGTTGGACCCTGCGGTGAGCTACTGGCTCAGCTACTTAACACACCTTTAGTGTACACGCTCCGCTTCTCTCCTGGCTATGAATTTGAAAAGTACTGTGGAGGACTTCCTTTACCTGCTTCCTATGTACCTGTTGTTTTGTCAGAATTAAGTGATAAAATGACATTCATGGAGAGGGTGAAAAATATGATATATGTGCTTTATTTTGACTTTTGGTTCCAAACATTTAATAAGAAGAGGTGGAATCAGTTTTACAGCAAAACACTCGGTAAGTCATTTTTTTTTTAGTAGGAAATACGAAGTTCCAACTTTCCTAGGGACTTGGAAGGTAAGCCTGTATAAATACAAAGTCAGAAGAATTTGTCTTTCATAATTAAAATGATATTTCAGTCTCACATATATTATGGGAAGGCTTTTATCATATGGTCAGTATGAACCTTGGGGTCCATTATTATTAGCACAGGACATTCCAGGAAGTCAGAACGCACAAATCAAAGCACTGAGAACTTCTTGAAGCAATTACATATCCATTCTTTGTTTGTATTATACTTTATTTTTTATTTTTTAAATTTATCTAGGTATTTGATCCTCCATTTATTAAAAATGGGGTCAAACGTATTGGCCATTGTATACTTAATTTTTTAGAATAGTTTTGAGTTCACAGCAGTACTGAGTACATATTTCCCATATACCTGCAGCCCCAACACATACATAGACTCCCCCATTATCAACATCTTCCAGCAGAGTTGTACTATTGTTATGACTGATGGATCTGCACTCACACATTATCATCCAAAGTGCATAGTTTACATTAGAGCTCAATCTTGGTGTTGTACATTCTATGGGTTTCCACAAATTTATAATGACATGTATCTACTACTATTATATCATACAGAGTAGTTTCACTGTCCTAAAAATCCTCTGTGCTGTGCCTATCTGACATATATATTTCACTGTACATTTTTCCATCTTTAAGAAGACACTAGAAATTTCACTAACAATCTTGATCAAAGTACACATGTAGATTGAGGAGTTATATTTTGCTAGCACCACTATTGCAGAGCATTGAAAATATTCTTTCACATGTTCTATCTAAATTTTTTATTTAAAGATTAAACTGTTTTGCCAAATTAACAGGATTCTTTTACAATGAAGAGATATAATAGCTCTATCCCTGACTCAGAAATCTGTAATTTGAGGTCTCTAATTATTATGCATTAATTCATAAATGCCTACAAATCATGTTTTAAAGGCCTAAAATATTGTCAAAAGGTAGACATACACATTATTAGTCTATATGCTTTGTGAACTGTCTCGCCATTAAATAAAAAATAATCCAAACTTAAGTTCTTATCTATTTCCATACTTCTTTCCAAAAAAATATTTTGCAAATTTTATTTGCAAAATATTTTTTTAATGCACAGATATTATTAAGCTCCTAAAATGAACCAGTGCAGTCATAGGTAAAAGGAACTGAGCCAGAGTTTTCTTGGAAAAAACTTCACACTTTTCTTGGAAAATCTAGGATCAAGAAAATAGCTTGCTAACCTGTAGAAACTAGACTGTGTACTATAGGGAAATGTGTTTCCACATGTGTGATGGAGTTAATTGAGGAGATGAAATTGTTTAAATTTGCATGTGTTAGTTTTGAAGGTTATGGAGTAAACAAATGCTTGTTTAATTCTTTAGTGGCATAAAATAACCATTTATGACTGTGAATGTACTGATGTGCTGTGATGAAAGTGCCTTACATTTTGTCTTGTGTGTGTGTGTGTATATATAAACAATATATATATGAAACACATAAATCTTATATATATTTCTATTCTATATATGTGAGTGTGATCAAGCCATAAGTTTTGTTTGTCTAATTTTATTTATATGTTTTAGTTTTTTTATTGGAGTATGTATGATACAATGCACAGATCTTAGTAGACAGCTTGATGAATTTTGACATGTGTATACACTCAGGTAACCATTGCCCAGACCAGTATATCAAACATCCTCACTAATTTTCCCTCTTTACGTATTTCACCCATATCCACCCCCACACACTCTCCCCTATGGCAACCACCAGTTTGTTCTCTGTGCCTATGAGTCTATTTCTGTTCTGCTCATTAGTGCATTTGCTTTGTGTTTTATATTTCACATCTAAGTGAAATCATGGGATATTTGTCTTTGACTTATTTCACTTACCGTAATACACTCTAGGTCCATCCATGTTGTTTCAAATGGCACAACTTCATTTATTTTTTGTAGCCGAGTAATATTGTACAGTGTATGTGCCACATCTTTTTTATCCATTCA